TGCACGAATATTTCGGCTATATTAATATTAAAATATTTCACAATCATAATACATATTTGGATTACTTAAGATTTATCAACGTGATATGACGTATGCTATATTGTAAAACTATTAAGTAAAATCTACTAAATAATATAAAACTATCAAAAAAAACACTACACACGTATTAAATTTAAAGTAAAAAATTAAAATTTATGATAAATAACTTTCATATAAGTCTTAGTATACAAATGCTTTCTTCAGCAGATATAAGATTTCTTAAGGAAATCGAAGTTAATATTAAATGCTGTGATAGGAAACCGCAGTGATTTCCTTTGTAAAATTACATACACTAAATAATTATCACCAAAAATAGACATACAATGAGATTTGGATGATAAAACGTTATCAAAAAACATACACACCTTTGAATGGAAGCCGGCAAATAGTTTCTTCAAACAAAACACGATAGAAAATTTACGAAAAATCAAAAAATAGATAATGAAATATTAAAACAATATATTATTTTAAAACTAGAACACTTTAAGTACAGTTTAAGTCATACAGATAAATTTATATATAGTTATAAAGTTGACGAACTAATCGTAAACATTTACGATGAACGTTAGCACGGACGCGCGCAGTCCATACAGCCTCGCAGTTATCACTGAGCTGAGAACTTGAGAATTGAGGTAGGAAACTAACCGCACGGAGTTCCTATTGGCTGAAACGTTCTCGTGAACTAATGTTTGAAATAATTAGACCAGGACTATTGTTGTTTCCTGTGATATTGGTACGGTACTTTGTGGATATCTCATACTTAAATAAACAGAGCATGAACATTTTTGATAATGATAGCTCTATAATGAATGTTGTGGTCTAAATACATGTTCTTCAAAAAAAAAAAAAAAACAGGAGTTGGTAACATAAATTATTAATGTACAAAATATGTCAAGGATGGTAGACACATTATATTTACTGTATATTATATTATTGTATTAATTCATTTAATTTATCTTACAATATAGAATGTAGTTTCATTAATATTCATTAATTCGAATTGTACAGAATATAAAGTTATATACGGTTATTTAACACCCAAAGAGATGGGTGTTATAAGTCAATGTATATGTGTGAGTGAGTCTGTGACATCGTATCTCTCAAATGGATCTACCGATTTCGATGGGGTTTTTGTCATTTTAAAGTTAGTACCTTGCAATAGTTCCTAACTCTGTTTCATTAATATTAAACTAATAGTTTAAGTGTATGTTACTAGTAGCTCCTTACCGTAATTAAATAATATGACAATTGACAATTAATGCGTAAGGGATTTTTATAAATTTAATAAATTATATAGCTATGCCTTTAATTTTGTTATGTTAAGAGCAAAATTAATACAAACTGACAATAAGCTGAATGTTATAAATAGTTACTTTTATTGTATTAAAACTATTTGTAATTATTTTACAGTCCTTCTTAAACTACAAATAAATAGATAGAAAATAAACATAGTTAAACCTCGATAAAATCCTTTGCTTGTATAAAATGTACTGAACAATAAAAGTATCTTAACATTTTCGAGATATGTAAATATATCATTCCGGTAATCACATTCTGTTCTTAGATATGTAGTTCCATATTTGTTACTAAAACAGATAATATACGTTTCTATCTCTCAATAATAATTTACATTATATCTTTGCTGACTAAATCATAAAATATTTCTTTTTATTCATCCACAAAATAACTTTTACAAATGAATCATCCGTATGAATCACCTTTTAAATTATACGATGAGCATTAAGAAGCCTTCTAAATCAACCCTCTCTTAATACTGCAAACCAAATACATTGCACAATCTTCGGTTACAATAAATACAACTACATAGACATATATTCCTGATTTTTCTATATACAGTATTATTTAAATAAGTTTTAAGTAAGATGATATGATTTTCATCGTAAATATAAAGTCCAATTTGTTATAGATAAAACAATGATGTGTTACAAATAAAAGATTTTTAAATTATAAGGATCATTTGATCTATCTTAAAAGTCCATATACAATTTCAAGGTTATTATGTAAATGTCATGTTGACATAAGGTTGTCATAACTATTAGAAAGACGAATGATTGTCATTATCAACTGTAATTTCCATGTAAACTATTAGTCACTATCTCCGCAAATATAGTGGAGTTATTTGTTTATAATTATACTAGTAGTAATAAAAATTATCTCAGACTCTGAATTATCTTATTTCAAGAAGATGATGCCAAAATCGAGCTAAAAATATAATAAAAATAATAAACTTCATAATTAAGGTGACAAAATGTTAATAAAGGACATTTTTAGTTCTGTGTCAAGTTCTTCAACTTTTTCTTCTACTTTATTGATGCGTAATAAATAATTAGAAGAAGGAATATTAACAGATCTGTACCTACACATTATCACATATCTTTATCTTTTACATATCGAATCCCAGTGTATTTCCATTTACCACTGTTTATAATTCCGTTACCGCATCAATAATCGAGCATTAAAAATAATAAAATTTCGCACATTGTACCCATTTATTTATTTATTTAAATTTTCTGGATGGTTATATGAAATTGAACTTACGATATCCAATTTATCATAAATTGCAATTATGATTAAATTATATGCATGCAAAATCGATTTTCAACGTCAAAGGATTTTGTTTCTATTCTGAAATTTTTGCTCTATCAAGCGATCTTACAATTTTAAAGGTTAATTTAATTTGCATTAAAGTTTAAGAAAGCTTTATTTTATTTTTATTTTAAGAAACAATCGAAAATTCAGTAAATGTGGTGTTTGAGCTGTTAAAAATATGTAAATTAAACTATTTAAGTACTACTTTTATAATCTGTGACGTCAAATATTTGCGAATAGCAAGGAATTAAAAAAAACGTTATCTGCCATAAAAGGTGTTTTGTTCAAACTCATGATTCCTTAGGTAGAAATCATTTAGCGGAAGTCCGCTGTGATAGATCTCTTAGGGTCCGTGACCCTATCTTTGTTAACCGCATAACTTATTTTGCTCTTAATAGATATTTTTGTCTTTGTGTATATCTTACACAGATAATATTACCAACAAGTTATGTACAATTTCATAAAATTATCATCATTATATTTAAATGCACAATGTTATTACTAATGAAATACAAAAAAAAATCATTATTGCCATATTCATTAATAATGGCATAATAACAATAAAAATCTACTGTTTGTAATAATATAAAATATAAATACAGATAGCAATATTGGCTTTAATCAAAATGAAATGTTATTCTTAAATGTTTACAGCATATAATATTACCTTTCATTGATTTTAAAAATCAATTCCATGGTAATGTTTAATATTGTTTTCTCTTCAACGCCTTTAAATTAAATAAATACCATTAAATCTCTACTATGTTCAATATAACAGTTTTATATTATGGTATATGTATTAAGTATTAACATTAAAATTAAAAGATTAAAATTTAAAAAAAATGCATTATTTAATCGGAGAAAAGAATTCATAAAACTCTTTAAAAGAGAATTTCATTGCCGCTTTTATTTTTTGTGACATGGTTTGTTATCTGTATTGAATTTTTACCTTGTAACAACAAACAGGAACACGGACTTTCGCAATTTAAAATGCAAAGGTGTATTGCATGTAGTTAACTTAGATCGAACATTTTTAATTCGTTATTTTCTTTTAAACAAAAATGGATACAATATACATAATAAGTTAGTTATAATAATTTGTGTATTCCTCTAAAAAATAATTTGAATTCATATTTTGGTAAACTCATAATCTTCATTATTGTAATTTATTAAGTCTCTTAATTATATGGTGTACAAATATTTTTTAAATAAACTTTTATCGTTCATAACTTTTGACACGAATTTCAATTTCTAACAATTATTCCGACAATACTTCAAAATGTATTGCATTTCACCTAAGAAGTACATTTGTTTACAAAACTCAGGAAATGTAAAAGTAGAGTGACTTAATTATATTCTTTAGATTAAAAAAGACACACGTATGCTTCGGAATTGGTTATTCCTAAAGAAATTAAATTTACCATTACTCTTAGCAAATGTATGTTTACTGCATTTGTTACATGAAATTATTTCTATAATTTTTTTTTATATTAACTTGAAATTTCACTATTAATAAACCCTATTAATAAATAGGTTTTTATTGTATCTCATATTTAAGTAGATAAAACTGAGTATTTTAAAGAGAAATGGCATAAGTTAAAATTAAAATTTTAAAATAAGTTCAAATATTTACTTTCTAAATAGTTTGGCACATTATGTTTTACACGGTGAACTATTTCAAATATTTCATAAATTACTAAACGTATGTTCATTTGGTTTACCACTGCAATGTTGTCAGCATTGGTCTTTTCAGCGCTGCTAGCGTCATCTATTGAACAGTATCGAAAGACAGAATGTTTTAAACCTAAACCAGTATACACTTTAATTTTAATTACTTTTATATATATTTTTTAACATTGGGATATTTATTTTGTTACGTTCTCTTGACATATCATGATAGCGTTATAAATTACTATTTAAATAAATTATGTTGTATTAACAAAAAACTCCCACAAAAATCTCCGAATGTGATGTTGGTAGTATTGTAAATCACAAACTTTCGTTCTCTTCGGCCATAGTGGGAATGTGTTTAATTGATAATATCTATTTATTAAAACTCATTTTATCAAAATAAGTGATTAGTACTTAAAATTGTATGTCTCTAATCATAGGATAAGACTCTTTTTATATGTGTAAAACTATTAAGAAACCGAAAATATAGTGATACTCATCGTCGAGAAAAATGTTATTGTGTGCTAAGTTTCATAATGGCGGTCTGTCGCGTCCCCCGCGCCTCCATTTCGATGACAGTCAAATTATGACAATGCCGATACGTAAATTCCTAAAAAGTGCAATGTTTTCATAACTGTTATACCTAGTGTAGTGATAAATCAATTCTATAAAGACTTAAAATGAATCAGGATCATCACAATATAAACACGGGTGGTGGCCAGCCACCAGGCAATTCTGAGGTTCGCATAGTTTGTTGTTTATTCATGGAATCTATCTTATTTAACAAATGTTTGTATGATATTTATATGATTATTGCAGCCTCAAACTCAAAGAGTTCAATCATCGCAGCAGCAACAGCAACAGCAAACACAAAGTAACAGTTTAACTCCCACAACATCTGCCACTGATTTACGGGTCAATTCGGCGGCAGTTAACGTTGCTTTGTCAAGCGTAGCTAAATATTGGGTGTTTACTAATTTGTTTCCGGGTCCAATACCTCAGGTGTCTGTGTATGGCGTGCCCACTGGTGCAAGAATTGAAAATGGAAAACCTGTACAGGTATATTATATTATGGCTTGTTAAATTTTGCTTCTAAAAAACTGAACTAATCCATTGTTTTTGCCTACCGCTTCTTTAATTTTTAATTGTGCTAGAAATAAACTTACAACAATTAATATCATTGATTTACAATATAAAAAATTATATATTATTTTAGAAATGAATTGTTTATATATAAAATTTGTGGTTATATTACCGTTAAAGTGTTATGGTTACAGATATTATAGACAATAATAAAAGTCTTTTGCTTATAATATGTATTTACACCAATATTACAATCAGTAAGTCTATAGTAGTCAATGAAGTCACTACTAAATTTAAAAAAAACTTGTCACTTACAATTTAATTTCAACCGTATAAGCATTTCAGGATCTAGGTCAAGCGCATGCTAGTATCTTGAATGGTGATCCTAGTATTATACTAGGTCATGCAGGACAACCCCAGGTCACAGTTTCCGCTGCGGGACAACAGATTCCCGTCTCCCAGATAATCGCAACTCAATCAACGCAAGGACATGGTAAATATTAAATACATCCTAACAAGCAATGATGTCAATGAATATTATTACTCACATAAAAATATTAACACATTATAGCATTAAAGATATAATCTTAAAACTTATATAATACTTAACACAATTCTACCAAAAAAATTAAATATTTGTTAGTTTTGTCATAGATAACAGTCATAGTTATATTGCCAAAAAATTCCTTATCTCATTTTCAGTATTGACATAAATTAGGCGGATAGAATAACAGATGTATTCTTTCTTTAATTTCATTTATAAATTTCTTACTAAAAATGTGAAGATTTCAGATAATTTTTCACCCAATTCTTATTATATCAACTTGAACAGATTATCTAAAGATAAAAAATTGATTAGGTGACAATTCTCATGTACATATATCATGTGTTTGAGGAGCCCTATATAGATCAGAATAGTTTTTATTAGAAGATAATAGTGTCTAACAAACATATTATTTATATCTTAATTCTCATTAAATATATACTATACTTATATTCATAAAAATAATTATTATATACAATTATAACTGAGAATTCAGCATGTTTAACATTTTTCTTAATATATTTATTTTATACAAATATCCTGAAATATAAAACATTGAAAATATACATAGTACTAAATAATACATATAACTACGAAGCAATGGAGGACATTTTTACATCATGTATACATTTTAATATTGTGAAAAGAATTTATGTTATTGCACATAAAATAATGCCATACATAATATTTTAATAACTTGTACAGTCTGCACACATTTTAGTATCAAATAAAGTGTTTGAGCTAAAACTTTAGATGTACTCTGAATAAAATAATTATAAATGTTTAGATAACAATACATGGGAAATCTTGTTGAATCTAAATGATACAGAATCCATTTGTGACATTGTGATTATTAGTAATATATATTTACTTCCATAAAGTTTTTGTTAGTAGAATACAAATAGCTCATTATTAATCTTGTTCAATTGTTTTCATTAATAGTCTGTATATTAAAGGGCCATTTACCTCCTTATTTGTTTGGTCTTTTTAAATAAACACTATGTTCTACTATACATTTTGACATGATATAGATGGCCATCATTAATTTTTTTTTCCGAAGTTATTACTTTTTTCTATCATACATAATTTTTTAGGTCACAACATGTTGTTATTGTCATTACTCATAGTGCATGACATAACAAACCAAAAAAATGCTTACTCAATATATTATTTGACCAAATTAGGATACATTTTAAGGCACTTGTGCTGCTGATATTGTACATATATATTTTTTTTAATCAAAAGCCAGTTCACATTACAGTTAAATATAAAATAGTAAAATATATTATGTACTCCCTGCTTAATATTCATATGAATTTTGGTATTTTTATTATTATATTTTATCATTAAAGCAACATTTCCCTCATGCTCGTATTTCGATATTTTTGCCATATTTTTTTTTTGTTATATTAAATATGAATAAATTATTGATATGAACTTATTCGTTTCCAGAGTCGCTGGTCGGTCACGGGTCTGGTGAATCGGGCGGTTCGCTGGCAACACCCTCGCAGGTACCCAATCGGGTCGAGTTTGTACAACATAACGTTGACATGGTAAACACGTCGTCTTGACGGCTAGCATACGCTGTTGTATAGTCGGCTGTTGGCTATACTTGATGTCTAATGGTGGCTATTGGTACCTGTGTATTTGGAACTGATTCATTATCATTAACACACGGAATATACCACAAGCATGCATCGTCACACTTCATATGACGCATGTTTTTCATTCATAAACCTAAGCTTATACCTATGGGTGGAGATTTATGAGTAGAATATAATAATCTGTTCATATGTGGTGTAGCGATGCTAGCTCATGGTAGTTACTGGTATATCATATACTTGCAAATTGAAGCGATAAGTTCCTAACTACAGTTAAAAAATATCAGAACACGTCATGTAGTAAGTAGTTAGATGAAAAACCTTATTACAAAAAGAAAACGTCATATTGGTCGATCTAATTTCAGTATCGCACTTTTAACATACGTCTCGTCACGCATGGAAAATATAATTGGAGAACGAGTGATTTTTAAACAAATCGAATTGGTACCTATATTCACCATTTAATAGGCACAGGTTACTTACTGGCTCAATGTAAACAGCATAGACATAGGTTTGTAATGGATGCATGAAGTAGTACTACTACTCGGAGATCATAAATTTTACTTTTATTTCGATTCTCTAACATTTTATCTAAATCTAAATGTTGTCTAAATAGCATGTCCTGTTTATCGTCGTAGATAGTTAAACGCATGAATCAAAATTTTAAAAGATGATTCTCACTCTTTAAAAAAATTAATGTGTTCTTTTTTTATTAACAAATAAACAAAGTTGTGTTGGATATACATACACATAGTTGTTTAAATTAATATTCGTATAGGTCTTCTAACAAAACTGGTCAGTCTTACTAATAGTTAATGTGGGAATTACTTGTTACACTTTTTTATAACATTCTATATTACACTTCCATGATCTAACTACTTTTTCATATACTTGTGAAGTCTAATTTCCTGTATACATTTCAAACAACAAACAAATCAAAAGAATGCACCACATAGGCAACATATCGTATTTTTGCTAAAAGATGACCTTTTTTTTTCAATAATAATTATCACATGAATTAAAATGTATTGGAAAGTGGATTATTTTTATCCGATTCCAAGCTAGTCAATTTTTAGTAAAAAATAAATGAGTAATCACATTTCCATTTATGATTATAAATGAAAAAAAAATTGTTTTACTCATAATATTTATTATTTCACTCTTTATTGCACACCAAATATACATAAAAATAAAAATATATTCTATTTAACTAAGAAAACAATGTATCTCTTTTTGTACTCCCATAATACTCACAATAATACTATTTAACTTTAATTTGGTGGTAATAACACTTAACATATATGCAAAAAACACCTCTAACACATACTGTCTTTAAAAATTACTTATAATAATATTTATAATAATACAATTATTTTCTTTAGATAGCCTTAGGAGAAAAATCAAAATTTAATTATAAATACATGCAAATGCAGATTTCCATCATTTTATCTTAATACATTTATTATTGTTCAAGTTAAATTTATAAAACTTATAATTTGCACCAGAGACTTAATATCATAGTTTTATTAATTTGTAAGGTAACATTTTGGGTTATTAAAATTTAATACAAATATTTATTACAACAGCTATATAGGAAATACTTTTCATTTCAAAATCCCAAAAAAAGTATAATAATGACCTTTTATGAAAGCCAATATTATAAATATTTAGAAACTTTTTTTAATTATCTCATTTACAACCATTTAGGCGATTAATTTATGAGTAACAAATAAGTTGTTCTTAATTATACTTATTTTAAACCATTTCATCATCAGTTATATAATACAATTTTTACATTTCTTTATGTAACTTCCTGGAATTTTTCCAATAACGTCAAATACGTGTTATATAATATCTTTCGTTCTGAATAATCATAAACAAAATATCACATTCAGGGTCATCACTCGCAGCAGCATTTGATGCAACAACAGCTAGCTATGGCGAGACCCGATCACGCCAATCAACAGGTATGTATAATAATATTTACTTATATACAAAATCATTATATACTATACAAATATAAATAATATAATCATGTATATATGTCATATATTTCACATGTATGTGCAATACTATCAGCTTTATATTTATTTATGTACTCATATTATCAATTAATATTTGTAATATTAATATCATGTGTCATTTTAATAGCTTATGTTTGTAAGTTTGTATGTTTAATGCAGCTTTTTTATTATTAAAGATGTAATTTTCTATATTCACGCTGCTTTTTCATCATAAACAGGTTAGCGAGGTAAGTAATAAGGCTTTGTAACAGCTTATATCGCCGTATTATATTATAGGATATTCTATATAATATGTATTATTTCTTTATGTTAATACTAAAACATCTGACGTAATTATTACTTCAATAACTGTTATTGTTTACAAACCCATTGATAATTTTATGGGAGTACAAGAAAAACTGTTGTTAGTGTGTAGATTTATCTGTTTTAATATATAAGTATATTTTATATATTATTTAATTGGACATTAAATAAACATAATTTACTAAGAAAAGGCCAAACCATATTTGAAAAAAGAACTTTTTATATTTATAATTAATTATTTCTATATAAATTGTGACTAACACTTTCCTTTGTTATTCATAGAAATTTTACAATTTAGTTTGATATAAGATTCCGTGATTCTGGACAATATCTTTGAGAAAATATCGTTGTTAAAAAAATATATCACTTTATTGAAATACATATATATGACACATTAAATTATGTATATGTAAAAGAATTTTTTTGTAATAAAATGTCATAGAAAATGTTCTTATTGTTAAAAAGTTTTCTTTGTAATCATAGATCCAACTGACAGTGAGTGAAGATGGGATAGTAACAGTTGTGGAGCCAGGTGGAAACAAACTGGTTGAAAAAGAAGAACTACATGAGACTATAAAGATGCCCACAGATCATACACTCACTGTACATCAGTTACAACAGATTGTTGGACATCATCAGGTATATAAACATTTTAAATATATTGTACATATAAAAAATCTGGTATATTGTCGAGATTATCAGAAGAAAGTTAAAGATGAAATATTTTCTAAATTGACCACTTTTAAGGTAATTTTTTCACAATTATTTTGTGTTTAATTTATTACTAATTGTGAAAAAAGTCGTCTTTAATGTAGATATGCAGAACTATCCAATGGTAGTTACGCGGATTTGCATTATCCCCGATTTTATGTATGTTATGTAGATATTGGATGGCTACAATCACACTTAAATCCATAATTAATTATATGTTCATAACCAGATTTTATTATTGTACCAATGCAAACATACGTCTTTAGTGTGTTTTTTAACATTGTTAGATATTTTTTTACTTTTTCATATTTATAAATTACAATTTTTGTCATATTCATGTGATATTATAAATTCTATTCAGTCCTTATGCTTCTGACACTTTGTCTAGAATTGGTCATATATTCAGCAGTATTATTCAATACATATCTCAACTTATCGGGTTTAGTACACAAGTTATTAAATGTTTAAAGGAATAATCAATTTAAAATATCAATCCTCTTCAACTCTTTAAAACAAATACTAGAAGACCCGGCGAACTTCGTATCGCCCTATAATCAAGAAATATCTGTTACGTTTTTTTATTTATATTTTTGGAGTTTGCCTATTAAAGCCATAAATCTCCGAGTTTTGACAGAATGATTAACATATTAGTTAGTTGTCAAATCTAATGTCAAAAAAAACCTTTGTATCAACAACTACTAATAAAAAAAATTGTTAAACAAAACAAAATTATGAGTCTAAACCATTCCCAGATCCCCTTGAACACACACAAAAAATTTAATCAAAGTCGGTCCAGTCGTTTGAGAGAAGTTCAGTGACATACATACACACTCACAGAAGAATTATATATATGTATAAAGATAAAGTTTCAAAATTCTTAATACAGGTGTTAGACAGCGTGGTTCGTATCGAACAGGCGACGGGCGAGCCGGCCAACATACTTGTGACTCAAAACCCTGACGGTACCACCTCCATAGAAACTAGCGCCGCGGACTCGCTGACCGTCAAGGATGAAAAGGGAACTAAAATGGAGCCCGCACAGTTCGCTATACCAGCAGAAATAAAAGACATCAAGGGCATTGACCTTAAGGTTTGTCACTAATCAAATAATAATATACTGATTTTATATTTCAATATTAATTGTTTCTTCTTTACTGATTCCGAATAGATATATGCAAAATTGTATTTTGATTCTATTTAAAATGTATTGCGTAAAACATTTTTACTAAAATCACTAATCTTAATGCTTAAATCCAAATATAATATGCTTTTTATGCAGTCCTGTAAGAAAAATCACTTCCAAATAATGATTTTCTTCTTGGAGTCAGTTGATATTAAAAATTATTTGTTAAGAGGTAATTAATCTTGTTTTCAGAGTGCGATGGGTATGGAAGGGGCTGTGGTAAAGATATCAACTGGCTCCGAACAACACGATCTACACACGATGTATAAAGTTAATGTTGAAGATCTATCACAGTTGTTAGCCTATCATGAGGTCTTTGGAAAATTAAACACTGAGGCACAACCCCAGGCTAAGGTGCGGTTTAAAATAATAATAAAAACTAATTATCAACATGTATAATTATGTACTTAAAATATTTGAATATATTATAGGTGATAAACGAAGTAGAAGTTGAAGCCGGTACAAGTGCAACCATGTCGGAAGCGGAGTCATCTCCCGGCCACCATTCATGTGATATATGCGGGAAAATATTCCAATTTAGATACCAACTTATAGTACACAGGTAATAAATATATTTTGCAAAATTTTATATGAAATAAAAATGGATTGCGTTCTAATTCTACCGTATATAGATACTACATAGAAATGGCGCTTGAAATACCATTCTGGGTTATCATTTCCTTTATTGACCTTTTTTAGGATGAAATCTATATATAAAACGTATATAATATGTTTTTATACAGACGGTACCACGGTGAAAACAAACCACATACATGTCAAGTGTGCGGGTCCGCTTTCGCTAATCCAGTTGAACTGTCCAAACATGGGAAATGTCATTTAGGTGAGTAAAAATATATTATATCGCTTATACTTACATCAATTATATTGAAGTATAAATAATTGAGCATTTAATAAGCTTGATAATAGAAAGCTTGTAAAAAATCTATTTATTTGTGCTTAAGCGTCAAATAGGCATAGAAAATCACGTTAAAACTAAATACCTACTTGTGGACTTAAGGTTCGATTTGCATATTCCCAAGTAGACAATCAATATTGAAAAAACATTACATAGAAAGAACAACTAACTAAAATTATGATTTTATAAAATAAAAACTTATAATACTTATTTCGCTTTTTTCTAGTCCATATTCTATGTTTGTTTGTCTTACTAATACATGTTACTGATGAAATGTATACAGCGGGTGATCCAACCGAACGCCAAGCCAAACGTCTTGCTCAGGACAAACCGTATGCTTGTTCTACTTGCCACAAGACGTTCTCGCGTAAAGAACATCTCGATAACCACGTGCGAAGTCACACTGGAGAAACACCCTATAGGTATATCATTATCCCTACTAATATTATAAATGCGAAAGTAACTCTATCTGTCTGTCTGTTACTCTTTCACGCCTAAACCGCTGAACTGATTTTAATTAAATTTGGTACATATAAAGTTGACCTTGAGAAATAACAGGATAGTTTTTATCCCAGACTTTTGAAAGGTTCTCTTGGAAACGCGATATAACCGAACTCCACGCGGGCGAAGCTGCGGGCGGAAAGCTAGTTATTTCAATAAAAAGAACTTCGAATTTCAGTATTTACTTAGGTATTACTGACTAGAGGAAAATATATTTCATAACCGATTTCGCTATACCTTATGAATGTTTTATAATCTCAGATGTCAGTTCTGCGCCAAGACGTTCACTCGCAAAGAACACATGGTGAATCACGTCCGTAAACACACGGGCGAGACTCCGCACCGCTGTGAGATATGTAAGAAGAGCTTCACGAGGAAAGAGCACTTCATGAACCACGTTATGTGGCACACAGGTACGTTGAACTATCATACTATAAGATATACGAAATAACAGTCACTACGCCTATTTGGACCGATTCTTCTATTAGATAACACTTAACGTGGTAAGTATATAGTATGTAACTGCAAGCATTAAAATACCTTTGGTGCAGTCACGAGCTATATTGGTCGTAAGTACATGTTATATGTGGAATAAAATCTATTTCCTTTGCTATTGCTTACTATCTTTTAAACTAGTGAAATGTTTGATTTTTTTATTAAAATTGAAATTCAGTGAATGTAAATGTTAAATTTATTGTGGTATCAAACATAGCACTAATGTACGATAAGCGATGGGATTGTCTTAGATGCGTGGGAAGAATGATAATAATCAGCAATGGACCTATGCTATTATTTATGTATCCTAACCTTATTAATTTTAAGTAGCGAATTCGATGTTAGTTACCCAATAGAAGCATGTTTTACAATTTCTTTACTTATATAATTTTAATGTATATTTTTACATTCCAAATAAATATTTTATTCTTTTCAAAAAATATTATTTTAACTTTGGTTACCATATTATATAATACATTAAGGAATACCGAAGCTTGCACCAATATAAGGTAGTGACAGTGGTGCAGAAAGTAGAACAATTTAATGATTCAACTATTTAAATATTAAAAAAAATTATATAAGTACAAAAATCATTACTAACACCATCCCATTGAACTATCGGCAGACGTATACGCAATACTTGTAACATAGTTGCATCATTGATTGTTAACATATTATTTTCTGCCCCACAAAACTAGGTGAAACACCGCACCATTGTCAAATATGCGGCAAGAAGTATACTAGGAAGGAGCATTTAGTGAACCATATGAGATCCCATACAAACGATACTCCCTTCAGATGCGATCTATGCGGCAAATCATTCACCAGAAAGGAACACTTCACCAATCATATATTGTGGCACACCGGTTAGTATATATCAACATTTTATTAAAGCTACAACACTATACACTATACATGATTTACTTACAGCTCAACATGACAAAAATAAACACAAAAGTTTAATAAAACTTGTAAAAAAGTTTGTAATACATTATAATTGCATATTTTTCCACGAAAATTTTCTTGTATTATTTTAGTAATCGTTGTATTTTATAAAGTTTTGTTATAAAAATGTCTTATAAAAATTGTTAAGATCGGATTTAGAATCGTGGAACGAAATTTACTACAACTGCAGCTTGGAAGACGTTTTTAATTACATACATGGAAAATGACTTTATATTGTTATATTTTTTTTAACATATATAGATCATTCTCTATTGTATATAACTTATTTTATTAATTCATTTATTATTTAAATTACTGTTTGTAAAGAATGAAAAATATATAAAAAGTTTTTCAATAAGGACGGATAGATTTTGGAATGTATCTATACTAATATTATAAAGCTGAAGAGTTTGTTTGTTTGTTTGAAAGCGCTAATCTCCGAAACTACTGGTTCGAAATGAATAATTCTTTTTGTGTTAGATAGTCCAGTTATCGAGAAAGGCTGTAGGCTATATAACATCACGCTACGACCAATAGGAGCAAAGATATAGTGGTAAATGTGTAAGAAACGGGAGAATTTATTTCATCTTTGAAGCCTTCCGTTGCGTGCGCCGTGAAAACGGTTCAAGATACACAAAAAATATGTATTAAAGAATAATAGCTCTTTTAATGATCTAAAAACAGTCCGCGACAGTATATGTCTATCTTTTAAGATTAACTCACAAAAACCGTTTTTATGGTACCTAATTTTGTCGAAATAATTTGTTTAAGTTGTATCAAAATAATAATATTAATCTTTATTCATATAAACAAATAAATATGTTGTTTGTTAAGAGTAATTCATTATTAATAAAAAAACATAGGTTTCATCCTGAAAATTCTACGGGAACCCGACCATTCCGAAAACACCGCAAGAACGGGAACTATGTATGTGGGAAGAACCCAAAATCTATCGGAAGTAACTATTCCACGCGGACGAAGCCGCGGCAAAAGCTAGTATTTAATAAGGTTTTTTAGGAAGTTTTAACAAAAATATTTTTGTATTTGAAATGTCCATATACCATTAAGTATGGAAGATTACTTCTGACTTAAATTTAATAGCAAAAAATAGACTTAAAGTAAATATTGTTCTCAGGTGAGACTCCCCACCGCTGCGACTTCTGTTCGAAGACTTTCACACGTAAGGAGCATCTGTTGAACCACGTGCGACAACACACGGGCGAGTCTCCGCACCGCTGTAACTACTGCGCCAAGTCGTTCACAAGGCGAGAACATCTCGTGAACCACGTGAGGCAACATACTGGCGAGACGCCTTTCCAGTGTGGATACTGCCCTAAGGCTTTCACTAGAAAGGATCATCTTGGTCAGTTTGAGCACTCAATAAAAATATCTTCTTCATGTTTTAAATAACAAAACTTAGATATTATTTTCTATTTTTATCAAATTTTTATATGAAATCTACATATTTGCTACCGGTTATAAGGTTGTTTAAATTATAACCAAATTTTTAAAGATCACGTAAAATAATTGCCCTTGGCTTATAGAGCCACTTCATTAAACTTATAGAAGTTTCCTAGATATCTTTTAAGAAATTAGTAATAATTTCTTTAAATGACCAACATTCATAGTAAATGAATGTTGGTCTGTGTGATTTTGATACAAAACCCTTCAACACTATGAACATTAATGAAGGATCGTTATTTTTTCTCACCTACATATTAATTCATTAATTTCGGAATACATCATTTTCATGGCATATATAGAATTATAAATCCAATAATTTTTATTATTCTTCTTTCAGTAAACCACGTCCGGCAGCATACTGGAGAATCTCCACACAAATGTTCGTTCTGCACGAAGTCTTTTACTCGCAAGGAACATTTGACCAACCACGTGCGTCAACATACCGGGGAATCTCCGCATCGGTGTATTTATTGCTCCAAATCTTTCACTAGAAAAGAACATTTAACTAATCATATTAGGTAAGTAAAACTATGTTCATTTGCTTTCCCTATATGCGTTGGTGTTTGTATGTTATGAATGTTATATGTCGTGTCAATGAGCTTATCGCATGCATTTACGGTTATGGTTATCTTCTATGGTCTGTTGATTGTATATGTTTAGGGTTTAATTAGATTTGGCTGAAATATATATGAGAAATCTTTTATATGAATACTGCTATTGGTGTTAGAGATAGAGATTAAAACTTGTCTCATTTCTATTATTTCATTTTAAGTATAATGTAAGTGTGCTTTATTTACCTATGTTATTTCCACGACAACTAATAGCAACACATATTTAATCACATAACCAATATACGCTTAACTATAACATACAATAGCATGCGCTAACTAAAACCATATCCATATAAAAAACAACGTCATTTGTGGGAAGTCCCAGCCCTTGCATTGTGCATTCCGATTCGGGCGTATCTTCCCACAAATTGTAATCGGAATGTACTCTGTACAGACAACATACGGGCGAGACTCCTCACAAGTGCACGTACTGTCCGCGTGCGTTCGCGAGGAAGGAACACCTCAACCAGCACGTGAGGCAGCACGTGGGCGACTCGCCGCACACCTGCTCCTACTGCCAGAAGACCTTCTCCAGGAAAGAACATCTAGTGACACATGTCCGGTATGTTATAACAACGTTTCTTATATGGATATGACGTCAGACAACATAACATACCCCTCTCTCACAGTTCAGAGATATATTTAATATGACTAATGGTATATTTATCACGTCTAGACAACACACGGGTGAGACTCCATTCAAATGTACCTTCTGCGCTAAATCGTTCAGTCGAAAAGAGCATCTAACGAATCACGTTCACCAACATACCGGCGAAACGCCGCACAAATGCCCCTTCTGTACCAAGACGTTCTCCAGAAAGGAACACTTGACTAATCATGTTAGGTAAGATGTCGATACATTTTATTCAAAAGTCATTATGAAATTACAACCTGAACTAACTAAACATTATACTAACTACATATTCTTTTATAGAATCCACACAGGAGAATCTCCACATCGATGTGAATTCTGTCAGAAGACATTCACACGTAAGGAGCATTTGACGAATCATCTAAAGCAACACACCGGTGATACGCCGCACGCCTGCAAAGTGTGCTCCAAACCATTTACAAGAAAAGAACATCTCATTACTCATATGAAGTAAGGAAAACTTGTTATTCTAATAGACTCTAATTAAATTTTAAATTTCCATCATCCATGTAAATATTAATAAATAATTACGTTATATCAGGTCTCACAGCTGTGGCGAGCGACCATATAGTTGTGGCGAATGCGGCAAATCCTTCCCTCTGAAGGGCAATCTATTATTCCATGAGCGATCTCACAACAAAAACAACGCAGCTAACAAGCCCTTCCGATGTGATGTGTGCTCCAAAGAGTTTATGTGCAAAGGTAAATGATAAACATATTTGACATACAAGAGGATGTTTGTCAATCCCACAAAAAAAAAACCATCCCATTTATTTTTAACTAGTAAACCTGGCGAACTCCGTTTCGCCACCAGAAGGCTTTTATATAACATTTCGTTTAGTGATTAAAAGATGAAGATTTTTTTTTGTTTTATATTTGAAAAGAATTTATTTTATTTCATTTCACAATAGTAATGAATTCATTTCGATTACAAAAATGAAGTGTTATTTAGTTGAACTTCTCTAAGTAAATGAAAGTGAATCCAAAGTAGATACCGAATCGAAGCGTTATACGTGTCCGCAAATTATCCGTTTCATTGAAGTGGTCCTTTGTAAACCATATTTTTTGTTTTTTGGTCTAACTTTAACACAAATAAAGCGGATGGTTTTCAAACTCGTGAACACGAAAAATATAACGCCCATGTAAAATACAATGTTTTCTAAATTTATCCCGCAAATACTAAATGGTTTTAAGAGTTCAAACTACAAACACAATACCGGTTTGTCACATGAAATTAACTGAGCAGAAAACAATGAGTAGCTGTCAACCAATGTACCATGCATCGGCACCATTTACTTAAAATATTGATTTGTAGTACATGTTATGTATGATGGCGCTGTATGTGAAAAAAGATTTTCCCGCTTTTCTGTTGAAATTTTTTGTTATATACCTCACGGAATCCGAGACCTTTCTAACGAATGCAAAACCGTGGAAATTAGTTCGTTCCGGACCGGACTTATTTTTATATAGTAGATCTCTTACAAATATCTAATTGTCGTCATTACATATCTGTCATTATACGTCAATTGCATAGCTGTCAATTGTGTTTCGTTATTCCAGATGTTATAGTGACTGACGTTTCATATCAAGTCCCACGGGAATGCTGTCGAACGGGATAAAAAGTATCCTATTGCAATTTCCTGGCTCTAAACTACCTCCCTGCCAATTTTCAGCTAAATCGGTTCAGCCATTCTTGAGTTATAAGTGAAGTCACTAACACGACTTTCTTTTATATATATAGATTATTAAGACCAGCTACTTACCAGTTGTTTACTAATCTCCAATTAGTTTAGTTTCAAAGAAAAAGTTAATCTGAGAACTAAATTGTACATATTAATAATTTCTATTAAATTCCATTCTATAGGTCATCTAGTAACTCATAAAAGAACTCACGCGGATAATGAAACACCCGCCCCTGAAGCCGCTCCAGAAGATGATTGCGGAGATTTTAACAAATGCGAAAAAGATGCTGAGAGACCTGAACGAAAACACGATATTAGGTACGTATTCCACTACAAATTTACGAATTTAATATAGTTTTCGTTCTCACATCTCACATTGCATCTGAAAAGTAGTTTATACCAAGACTTGATACATATATAACTATTATAACTCCAGGACAACCACAGAAAATAGACCAGCAGAAACGAATGTCACCAGCAATCAGACAACGAATACAGCAGTGATGCAAATAACTAGCCAGGTAATGTATTTAATTATATATAATATATATATAATATTAAATATTATTATATTATTTTTGATATCATGTAACTAAGGAAAGATTGTATTCAACAGGAAGTTAGAACATGCCCCACAACAAGTACGCCATCTGTTGCCGGTACATACACACATACAAATACCCATCACAGTGGAACTATAACACACCATCCAGTGTCCGTGAATTACTAGCATAGTAAATTGGACATCAATATTGATGTCTTAGACAGCTAATAGACATTTAAAATTTAAAACGTTTAAGTTAATGTCCAGTTACCTACATTAAGTTTTTCGCTTGGAAAGAACTTTATATTAAATGTAGTGGTGGATCATTAATATAAATAACTAAATTAAAGTATAAAAACTATTTTTCAAAATGTTTGCGAATGTGAATACTTTAGATGTAAACAATGTAAACTAGTGTGTAAAGAAAATATTTCATCAGTTTTATTATAAAATAAAATACTATATAATTTTTATGTTAATCGTAATGGCTTGCACTTTATAAAATAATGTAATATATAGTCTGATTTAGTATATTTTATAACACAGCTAATTTGTGATTTAAGATAGTGGTTCTGGTTTAAAATCCTATATTATATTTAGAGCTTACTTATATTAAGATTTATGAGTCTTTATTTCTATTTACATTTAACATGCAGTATATCAGAGTAACGGCTATTTCCACAGCTAGTTCTGTGTTACAATTAAATAATCTATCATACAGTTGCATCAATAAAATATTAACATATAAAAAAAAAGTTTTAAACATAACAATACATACATTCCTCGTTGTAAGCCTTGGTCAATATATAATACATTATGGGATGGCTTTTTTGTTCTGGTTTATAGAAATTAAATACATATGTATTTTTTAATACCTACATACCATACATTTGTATGTGATATTTTTTATTTCACAAATATTTTATTTACATTGTAAATAGGGACCAGGGAGCAAGATGTCTATTAAAACAACACACTGAAATACTTTTAACACTACATAACTTATTTATTTAGTTTTTTCTTATATATTTTAATGATTAGTCTTATAGTTATTCTTTGCCATTTATGTACAGTACAACGTGTGATAAATTCATAGTTTTTTAAGGTTGGAATTGTATAGATGTTACTGGTGGTTTATATGCTTAGCTTAGTTGACCCACCAGTAGGAGAAGTGGTGTTATAATCACTTCTGATCACTGTAACAGCTTGTATATCATAGTTTGTAATTAAATGTAAATATAAGACCTACGTCATAGTTATATATAGTATAAATAAGTTAAATATATCATTTATGTTATGCTATTTTATGGAGATATTATGTGTTAGATTGTGGGATTTTAAGATTTTAAATCACCTGGTATATTATTTTAGTTACTTTTATAACATTGTGCTATCAGCGAGATAAACCATCAATATGATAAACATTGTCTCTCAGGTGGTGCCACTTTTATTTATATTTTATAGAAGATAAAACTTTATATAGACTATAGTATGTACTAAAAACTTAAATTATGTTCAGTAATTTGATATGAATGAGATTAAAATGTAAAAGAAATATGTCTTTTATTTTAATTACTCTTAATATTTAATTAAATATGAGGTTGTTACCCCTTTTCATACTTAATAACCTAATCCAAAAAATGGCTTTTTGAGTTTAACTTTAAAACAGATTCATAGATTTTCACCTTTTTTTATTTGTAAGACCATTTTCCTTTTTATGATTATTAGCTATGTTAGATTAAATCGGTATAAGGCCTATTCTACAAAACGATATAAGGCATTTGAACCTTATGTGCCTCATGAGTGCCAATAAAATCATTAAATAGCTATTATTTGGGAATTTATTCTTTTTTAACTGATTTTTAATTATACACAATTTATCTCTAAGGATACCGAATACTCTGTTTGTATACATAATTTGTTCTAGAAAAATTTAAAACAAAAAATGCCAATACTAAGTTTTATGTAAAGTAAATTTATGGAGGGCTGTGTATGTTTCTAGCTGTTGCGTAGGACAAGGTGGGGACCGAGTCAGGGTGGTGTGTGGTCACTACCTTTCGTGAGGCTATGATGCTCGCATAGGAGGCAACGGAATGGCAGAGACAGGCTGACTCCTCTCCCCTCCCTTAGCAGACGCACTGGGCGTCGTAGGATAGCCGAATTCTGGCTACCATAGAATGTGGCCTGTGGACGACACGCTAGGGGCATGGCATGGCAATGTAATAACTAGTATAACTACATCAAGAATTATGTTGTATATAATGTGCCATTAGGAATAAAGCCACAATAAAAAAGAGAAATATAAAAACATAATATAAATATGTTTGATAAACTTTACTGTGGGGGACAGAGATTTCCCATTAAAAAAAAAATATAAACATACTGCCAATAAGTAAATAATCCATAATTCCTTATTACTTTGTAAAATATCTTTCAAAGACAACATCATCATAGTATAAATAAGAGTTTATTTTAATTTATATATTTCATAGAGTATTAAAATATAACAATCTGGCAATATATATGTACATAATACAATCAAGCTTCAACTGCAATTCTTTTAGCTTTAACCCTTTGAGGTCTTTCAGGAGTTTCTTCTTCAACATCTTCTGGGAGTGTATCCATGGGCACATCAGGTAATTTATCCTTAACATCAAGAATAGATTCAAGCTCAGCTTCAATATCTTCTTCATCCTCCTGACTTAACTGGCCTGATATTAAATCATCTATTTCTTTTTGTTTCTCTATACCCTCCTTTGTTTCATCCAATATCTTTTCTATTTCATCTATATTTAGAATTTCATGAACCTTCTTTAGAGCTTCATTACCCGTTTTTAAGCCATCAAGAACCTGAAAAGAGACACATTAAGTACATAAGATAAATACAATAGAATCCCACTACAATTAGAAATCATATAATATGCACATAATAAGTAGAAGTTAAAACGATTATTTTACCTGTACTTCAATCTGAGCAAACTCTAAATCATGTGTAAGTTGCTCTAGCTTTTCTAGTTGGATGTCAGTATTCTTTAAAAGGTTTTCCTGATATTTCTTTTTCTTCAGCAATAATTTTGCCCTATCACGTTTATCTTCCGCCAAGAGTTTTTTAGCTAACTTTCGGTCTCTTTCCAAATTTAATTCTATTTTCTTCTGGTATTGTTTTAACTTATCTCTTTGCTGTTTAAGTTGTAAAACAGCTTTGTCTTGTTCGGTTACCCTACTGACAGGCTTTTTACTTTTACTAAATAGACCCCCCATTTCACTAAGTTATATAAAAATTGTCCTTATAGAGCACTTTTACAATTATTAATAAACTTATTTAAAATTTTAATTACAAGGTGGGAATTTTTAACATCGTATGTATCTTATATTGCCTTAATATCTGTACACTTGCTGGTAAAATCTGAAGCTGTAAAACAATACCTATGTAATGATAAAATGATAATCACAATAAATAGATAAAACAATTAACAAGGTGTTTTCCTTAGGCCACAACTTCTTTGACGTTTTATTTATTATCATTTATCACATCAGGCCAGAGATACACCTATTTGTTTTTTATGACGTCCGAAAAAGTACCACAACTATGTTTACTAATTAAGAATGTAGGGCAGATGATTTATTAGTGTCTACTTGTACACTTTTATTAATTTATAGAAAAGTCGAATATATTTTATATAAAATAAAATCCGAGACACAAACTATTTTCGGTTTTTCAAAAATAGCTGTATGTAATATAAAATATCCTTTAATTTAAATATTTTTCTTATTGATTTGATAGTAAATAAAAATTGATGTAACTTACTGTATATGAAATGTATTATTTTTTCTTTGCGTATTATTAGCAATTGATAGGCATAAGGTTTTTTTATACAGTTTTTTAAAGTTATTGTCGGTTTAAGTGTATTTGAATGTATAGTTATTAATAATTTTTAGCAAAGTGTAATTATTTGAATGAAAATTTTAGTTATGTCTATATTTTTTATCTATACTACACACATTATCATTCAATTTTTTTATCCGTCTTGATACTCTAGAGTCTAGAAGTTATTACAATTAAATATGGCTGAATTGTAGTTTTCAAAGCCTTACCGATTTGTGTTAATATAACAATCACGTGTAATGTTGGTTTTATTATTTCGTGGTATTTTGGTTAAAATAATTATTTAATTAGTTTTATCGGTATAGTCTTTTAGATTTGGTCTTAACATTAAACACAATGGCAGTGCTTGCTGCGGCACAATTGTTAGATGAATTAATGGGGAGACATCGGAATACAAATCCAAATGAAAAGATAAAAAAACCAAATTGGGAAGATCCAGAAGTGAGTCAGAGTTATGTTAAGAAGACTTTTCTTACATACATTGCTAAATTATTAAATTAAGCACGGCAATGACTTGTCAATGATTTAGAGATTTAGAAAAAACTTGCCGAAGTTTGATTTTTCGTAAAATGTGTGTCGAGCTTTACTAAAAAAATTAATATTTTTTTCTCTTTACAGTATTGTAAATACTATATGGTAAAATTCTGCCCTCATGATTTATTTGTAAACACAAGAGCCGATCTTGGGGTTTGTCCAAAAGTTCATGACGATGAGGTAAAAGATCTTTTCGAACGCGCAGAATCTTCATATAAGAAAGCTCAATACGTTGAAGAGTTCTTAAGATTTTGCCGTCACATGATCAGTGATGTAGAAAGTAAGACTCATTTTATTAGTAGTAAAGTAAACTAATTATAGATAAATCTTATGTTAAATGTAAAAATAATTTTTACAGGAAAAATACAAAAAGGTAAACAAAGACTGGAGTTGATGAATTCAAAACCTGAAGGTCCTCCAATGACTCAGGCTCAGACAGAGAAGAATCAGGAACAGGTAAAATAAAATAACATTAATCTTATTGCACCTATAAAGAAAATTTCCTTATCATCTATAAGACAGAGTCCAAATAAAAAGTCCTATATTTTTTTAGGTTCAGCTGCTATCTGAAAAGATAACTGCTTTACTGAGAGAAGCCGAGGAAGCTGGGTCCTGCGGTAACGTAGAACAGGCACAGGGCCTCATGAAGTTGTGCGATCGGCTGAAAGATGAAAAGGAACAACTTTTGAAACAACAGGAGAATAGGTATATTTGAATTACATTTTAATAATAATTTAATTTGTACATAAATGAGAAAACGTCAGTTATAAAATAAGTTATAATGATTTGGAATATAATTAAACTTAATTTTAGCCACTGGTCAATGACAGCGGAATTAGCAGCAGCTCAAGAGAAGCAAATGGAAGTGTGTCCTGTATGTGGAGCATTTTTAATTGTTGGTGACGCACAGCAAAGGATTGATGATCACCTCTCTGGAAAACAACATGTTGGGTTAGTCGGTCACATTTTCTAGTTAGCTATTTAATATTAATACATATGATATTCTTGTTATTTTCTTTTGGGAATGTCATTAACTTGATTATATTAATATACAAGTAATATATTCTTATTAGCCAAGTAATTTTTTCTCAATTATGATCTGCTTTTCTAGGTACTACAAATTACGTCAAGCTTACGAAGAGATGAACGAAGCTCGTGAAAAGGAACAACAGGAGAAGGAGAGACGGCGGCGTGAGGAAAGAGAAAGAGAACGCAGTATAAGGGGCGGTGGACTCGGATCAGATAGACGGGATAGAGAGAGGATGGAGAGGGACAGAGAACGGGATAGCCACAAGGATAGGGAACGGGATAGGGGAGAAAAGGAAAGGGATAGAGAACGTCATCGGTGAGTGAAAACGATACATTTATTTTATTTTATTTATTTGGTAATCCAACACTTTTTATACATAAATGTCTATATTAACTATTATATAACATAAATTTAAAACCAAAATAGGATTACACAGTAACTTAAACATATTAATAACTAGAAGACTGTAGCATAAAAGTAATACTTATAGTATAAAAGTAATATAAAGGTAAAACTGTGTACGGGTGGGAATCCAATAGGTGCGTGTTTGCATGATTGTGTGTGTGTGTTATTATGAATTTTTATCTTTTTTAATTATAGCTTTTTTAAAAGCTACTTTTGACATGCTGAACAGATCAATTTCTGAGTATTGTGAATTATATGTGTGGACCATGCGATTAAGGACAGAGTTGTGTGCATAGTTAGTGTTTAGCTCAGGCGTGTGGAATAGTGCTGTATGACGTGTGCGGCGATTGGGAACTCTTAAATACAAGGATAAACATATTACGCCTCCATAGATAGAATAAACCTAAATATTCTACTTATATCTCCAGGTCCAATCGTGAAGAACGAAACAACCGTCACGAGGATCGTGATCGTGAACGAGATCGTGACAGGGACCGTGAGCGTGATCGCGGTGACAAGGAACGGGAACGGGACCGAGACAAGGAACGGGACAAGGAACGGGAACGGGACCGAGAGCGTAAACACCGTCGAGAGAGAAGTAAGAACTACCTATGTTTACATAACTATGTATTTTAATTGTACTAGAATAAAAAACCAGTTTGATAATGTTTAATTCTTTAAGCTTTTTGTTATTGAAACTACACTAATGTCACATATAATTTAGTAACAACATTATATGAGAGAACTTTATTAGTTAACTATCATATTTGGTGCAATATACTTAGGAATAGAGGTTTGATGGTGTGTTATGTCTCAGTATTAGTATATTAGTAATAGTAATGTGTTTTTTATATAATTTCCAGGATCGTCTCACGACCGTCCAAGACGCCGATCCCGTGAACGCCACTGACCCCGATTGACTGAGGTATCACATAAGCGCCTTGTAACGGTAAGCATAACAAAATGTCGCATTACTACGATCCCGCAAAACTTAACTCCAGAAACGTTGAACACTCACATCCTAACGGCATTCCCTTATCCGCAAAGCAATCATCCCCAAAAAAAAATTGATACATTATTGAGTAATAAATTGAACACTGTTATTTTACAGCTTAGTAACATACCAAAATAAAACTTCGGTTTATGGCAAACATATGGGGAGTATTGCCCTGTTGCAATCTCGATTCGATAGTTGTCGTCACACCGACGGATTTGGCAGGTATTTAATACGTATTATGAATAGCTGCTGCCTGCTGCGGGGACTTTATGGCCGATCGCGACCTTTCATATCATGTGAATGAAACTAGCGATTGTCCAATAAGGTTTTATATGAGCTGTACACTTTGGTCGTCTTTTCGAGGTACTTTTTATGTATGTTTCGACGTCGTCTTTCGAGTTGCTACGTTTGATACGGGGATCGATGCGACGAAAGGTATTTGTTAGGTATTCGTGAATGAGAATTAGGGTCATTTAAGTCATTGATCTCAGTTTAGGGCTTTGGTCGCGTCCGTACATAAAGGATATAATTTTTATGTCTCATCATAGATATATTTTTATGAATGGCGATGTGAAGGAAGCATGTTCTATATGCTTCTCGTTCACAAGGATGCTGTTTTTACATCACCAACTGTGCATTTCCAGGTACCCTCATATGGCAACAAGTCTAAAGCGAATTACTATATTTTTCTAACCATATCAAATATTTCATTACTTGATGCCATATACAATGTTATCTAATACCCTTCATCCCAAATGGAAGTAACTGGCCATCATTGATGCTAAAATAAAAATATATATATTATACAAGAATCATTTTTAACAAATTCATTGATGGCAGTTAGTTCTATATAAAATGTACTCACATTCTTGTTACTAGCGTATCGATGGACTTTTCAGTGTGGGAACCATAGACGAAGATCTACACGGGCAAGCCGACCACAGACAATGAGGTACTTTTGAAATTAAGAACCAACCGATAAAGAACTCTGCAACCACCGAAGAGGCGTCGCACGTCGATACCGTCACTTGACATCGGTTTCAAGGTGACATAGAATAGTTTCGTGTATAAAGTTTTTTCTACCGATTCCATTATGGTTTAATGAATGCACGTAACGTTATCACGTTATTGAATATTGTTATTTATTCGTTATAAAAGTGTATAATGTAGCTACCTCCAAATGATTCATCTCAAGGATATATAGTTTACTGTAAACCAGATTCCACTGAGGGAGTGACTTCAGGTATTTATCGAACTTTTATTTGCTATGAATTATTGTGATTGATTTGTTGTGTATTACATAAAGTGTGAACCTTTAGGAATTAATATGAATAAAAATAATATAATTTTAAATGTGTTTTTTTATTTACCTTTACCTATTATTGTTTGAAGCCTTATGAATATACACTATTAGCTAACGTGATAAAAAGTTAATTTTATTAAAAATGTAAATGGCCTTTGTATATACATTGTACGTAATGAACATTTTCTCTCAAAAACAGAACACTAACATCACATAGATAAAAAAGTCCATGTATAAAATAATTATTTTTATATAAGAAAAATGGAATGTACGATGTTAAAGAAAGATAGAATAAGATCTTAATCAGTCCAAATAACAAGTTATAAGAAAAATTGGCTTATACAGGTGACTGGTGAATTACTATCAATATTTAAGGAGCATACTCGGTACATGATTCTCATTCGAATTATGTAAAAAAAATAGGTACTTAATTTTTGACCAAATTTCCGTATAAATAAATAAAGTGTGTACACGTTCCAAGTGTTCCTAGTGTGGACGCGTGCGGCGGCGTGCTGATACAACAACACGCCGCCGCGCGCGTATGTGTGAGTGTGTAGTGTAGAGTAATCTGTAGGGTGTTCATACGATGCGTAATTAATTACACAACTTTTGGTTAACTTTACTTAGAAGTTTATTAATATTTATGTTATATTAATTTTTATTTCGTCATATATGATCGTCAAATATCACGTCCTCAAATATCGATAGTAATTCACCAGTCATCCTGTATATTGTATAAGTAAATTGAAAAACTCATGAAAGTAATGGTTACAGAAGATAACAGTTTCTTAAAATACTAGAATGCCTATAATTGAGTCTACATTTGTAAAGATGCTAAGAAATTACAGTATGAACATGTGTGAGATTCATTGTTGTTACTCAAAATCCTAGGAATCTTACAATACTATTAATTATAATACTATTATATAATACTATTAATACAATTACTAATAAGTTTACAATGTCACTCAAAAATTACAAAATTTATTTATTAGTATATAAACAAAAGGATTAAAAAACCTTACTACTGATCCTTTTTTTTAATGACTACTTAACATATTATGTTAAGTATTTTCTACTATATATTTTTAATCTGTCATATTTAGCTGTCACCAGTAGTGTTTGACGTTTAACAATAACAAATTCCTCGCGGTTATTGTGAAAAATAAACTTCTTAATATTTATATTTCGTTATCCACAAAGGTTTCTTTGAAGAAGTTAATTACTATCACATAAATTTGTCTTCACTATTACAAATTAAATCTAAAATAGGCATATCTAATGATATTTTAAGATTTGTTACTGTATTTCTCAATATTTATATTATTTTTGAATAATAAAATGACCACCGATGTAAACGAGTCGGTATTAACACAGGAAGCAAGAAGGCAACTAAGAGAGTCCTTTTTAAGAGATGTTAGTGAATTGAAAGGTGAATAAAAGAGTTCTGAAAGTTTAATCACTAAAGTTAACTTTTCAATTCTAATGATACAAAAAAATCCTTGAATGATTATAACTATTTTAAGATATTGTTTTATGAATTTAGTATAATCAAAGATAGTAAAGTATAATCAACATCATTGCAGGCCAGCCATGTCACATTCTAACATACGAACAGTCGACACTTGAAGCCACATTCAAAGGTTGGAAACCAGATGGTTCTGAAGTTATAGTTAGTGATCTGAAGACCCCGGCTAATATAATAATGTCATCAGCATTGCTCAGAACACCTGATATTCTGGCTATAAATTTTGATACAAATATTAATACCGAATAATGAATTGTGTAAATAATCTTGATGTATAAATATTATTAAATAAAAATGATTATTCTTAATATATTTTACATATACATATAGAACTGCTTATATTATTTGTAGTTGTAAGTTATTTTAACAAATTAATAAAAAATATATTTTCATACATCATCTAAACAATATTGTTTGATCATGAGATTGTTATTGAAATATTATAATTCAATTTTTTTTGTAACAAGTATATAGCAATGAATGATTTTTTATTTGTGGTTGTTTAATAAACCGTTTACAAAACAACATTGTTTATAGCACAAGTCGACAAATGTTTCTTTCATATGAAAACTTTGAGACTTTTCTTTCTATATTAAAATTAAGTTAGTACAGCGAGTCACTATGATTTTCTTGATTTTTAATAAGTCTACCAAAAAGTAGTATGTCTTTGAAGGATTTCTACTGACTTCACTTATATTGTACTTAAATGACATGTAGACTCCTCTGATTTTAGTTAGAATTATCATTACTACTGTGTTTAAGTGTGAGGTGGGCTTCAATTAACTTAAGGTTACTTTGATAAATGGTAGTATGAGGCTTACCTTATAAATAGTCTTAATTTCGGGTTCAAAATTTATAAAAATTAACTAAAGAAAGTGATGGAAGACAAGATATCCAAACTGTCCGAATAATGCAGAATGTATTTATACAAATTAGGGCATTAGAATACAGAATAAGTTTATAAAACAAAATCTCGTATCTGTTTGTAATTATTAAAATAAAATCTTTATACTAAATTCATGAAATTAAAAAATACATGCATTCATAGCTCAAAACAGTAGATATTTTTTAATTTTTTGTCTATTTTCCTTTCTCTGAAAATAATAGACTGATTTAAGGGGGTCTTTCGCTGGCTCATAACATACAGTTACCTAAGTGTGACTACATTTCGGCTAGAAATATTTATTAATACCGATATATAAATATCTACTAGTACGATTATATTCGGTTTCGAAATTTAAACAACAGATCATAATCTGACAAATTAACATTGCTAAATTCGTCTTGTAGGAGCGACTGTCAAATTAAAAGCTCAAATGTCTGGCTTAGGGGCTATATTATTGTCACTTTCAAAAAAGTTCGCTTTGTTTTGAATCCGGATTACATGTAAAAATTTAAGTTTATCTTGTGTGGTATGAAAATTACACAAAAAATCTGTATTTTAAGGAACATTCAAAATTTTTGTACATATTCGATGAATAAATAGATATTAGTAATAACTTGTTACTAATGAGAGACTTATATTTGCCATGCAGTTGTTATTTTTTTATGACTCTTCATTATTTGGTGTTGTCCCTCAATTGACTCTAACATTTAAGTAGGTAGGTACACGCTATCAGGTAATTTTTTTTGAATAATTTCTTTATAAGTACATATTTAGTATCGATTGGAAGTAAGGATAAATATATGTTTTAAATAAAGATATTATATAACACTATCATTTATTTAATGCAGAGAGACTTCATGTTCTTCAACTGAAAATCAATGAGATATAAATGAAAGCAAAAATAACTTTATTTTAAATAATATGTAAAAGATTTTTTTAAAAAGGATGTAAACCCAGAAAGATCTTACGTAAGGCTTTAAAGATTAAAGAAGGCTTAACATTAAAGAAGCTTAGCTACGGTTACCGCCGTCGCAGCTAAACGATGATTCTAGCCTTTGTATAAACCACAATTGACTTTAAAAGAACCACGCTTTACTAGACTTACCTTTTGAAAATATAAAAACTGTAAAACCCATGACCTGTTTCTATTAAGTATAAGTAAAAAAAAAATATAAACATGATTTAAAAAAGGAAATTAACACTTTTTATGCCGAAATTTTAATCGTCGTAAAAATAAATAAATTTATTTACTTACAAAATCCAAATTAAAATATTAGGTACTGTTGATTTAATTCCGCTTTTCTTTATCTTTATCTTATGTGGTGTAATATTTTAAAATATATTAATGTAGATTTCTTAAAATTACTTAAAAAAATAATAATTAAGGAGTTTCAAAGCCGAATACGTCTATTTAGTTTGCTAAACTATTTTAATTCAAAATTTATAAAAATATTTTAATGACCATTGTGTAAAAGTAGCATTTTATTTTAATTAGATCTACTAGACGAGATGATCTCGTTTGCCCGTGATCACGGTTGCTGAAAAGTAACCGAAATGGCGAGAGTATGTAGTTTTTTTTAGAAAAATAAAGCACGCTTAGTATATCCGAAAAATATTAGTTACAGTTTATTTTGTTTGATACCTTTGGGAGAAATTTATAGATACCCGAGAATAGCTCGGCAAATATAACATAGGTACCTATAAATAATTGAATATTGTAGTAGTAGACGATTCGGAAAATTCCAAATTTATCAAATATACTTCTATGTAGATATCTTATAAGTATTTTATCTTACTATAGAAAATACTGGCAAAAGATATATAGGATGCGAGCAATTTTCCCGGTTTGTCTGATTGATAAAAATTTTACTTATTGCCGACCAATCTCTGTGACTAGCTGTGAATATTATTGCATTTTAATAAAACCTTATGAGATATGAACATATTGTCGTAATATTACGATATTGTTTTTATAGAATCTTATTCTTTGGATTTATAATACGCTGAATGATTTAGATTTTAAGTAACATGAAGTTATATATCTATTTAAAGTAAGAAGTTATGTATCTATTTAAATGACGGTATTTTTTTAAAAACTATCTATCTACATAGTCACGATTAACATATAATCTTTATATAATGATGTATATTCAATTTTTATCCTGACAAACAACAATGTATAAAATAGTATAACATATTTATATTTTAAAGTATTTTACATTTCAACGTACGTGTACGTTAGCTTTGCTTTGTTATTTAAAACAGAGAACACATGCAACCCTTATAAACATATTTGACAAACAAAGGCTTTAGAAACAGTTTTCAGAACACAATATTTACTCAGTGAGATTGCAGAAGGTGATTTTGTGAAATTTGATGTAAATAGGGGTTGTGATATTTGATATACTCGTATATATAATTCAATTTTACAAAAGTTATTCCATATAATGAAATATGTTTAACATGAAATTCAAGTTGATAAGAATTTATTATATGTACACAAATAATAGTAAAGTAATTAATAGTAAAGTAATTTTACACATTTGGTCGGTTAGTTTACTTATTTGGAAGCAAGGGTAAGTTTTGTATTTTTGTATGTGACGTATGGAACGGAATAATAGCGTTTGAGAAATTACGATTTTCTGCAGCAAAACCTCCCGGCTCTTCTGGATTTTGAACCAATTCCATCTTTTTTAATCGTATCTAATACAAGATAATTTTTTTTGATACATTATGTGTTATTTGGATAATTGTTAATATGTCCAATTTACTCTAATGAAAACTATCGTCGGTGAAAGAATCTCTCACGGCTATTAATGCCAAGTAAAAAACTCAGATTCTTTTTCGGATTCTTTTCTGTATATAGCTTAAATTTTCGCTCTTAAAGGAGTAGAGAAAGAGAGAAAGGCTTATATAGCAAGGCCTATTTCTAACATCAGCTATAATGAAGTCTCTATATTTTGACTTTTTTCTACGAGTGCTTCAAAGCGTTCGTGTGTTTTGAACCATTCATTTAAATAAATGTTGTGATCAGTATGTTTCATGTGTCAATCACATGAATTATTGTATTTTTCATGTAAGCCGCTTGTGCTCAAATATTCCGATTACATGTAAAATTGACAGTTGGATATCTTGTTTATTATTGATTTTTATTTTTCATTATCTTTATCAATTATTGAATTAAGATGAAAACGACTATTTTAGAGATATCCTAAATTGAATACTTGTCAGAAATGTCAGTTAAACAATTCAGGATGAATTCATTTTGAATAATTATAATTATTGATTCGATGCTAAATAATTTTTTTATGTAATAGTCAATGGGTAACATCACTAATAATACTATTTTTAATCCTGTTTTAAAATGATGATTAATAAGAGTTCAAGTAGTTTGCCTAGGTAATTTTTTAATAAACTGATTGGTTTTTAATAATTTTGCAAATATGTATTATTATTCAAAAAGAGCCATTTCTAAAATGTTATTAATCCTTGTCTCTATAAATTATTATAATTTTTAAAACTCGTCTTCTGTTTCTGAAGAAAACATATTCTCGGTTCTCAGTGGTTTATTTATTTTCCATATTGTTTTTATTATGTTCAACACTGTTTTTTGTAGTTTTAAATGTAATTTAACTTTGACATTGAGGTCTTTGTGTCTCTGTCATCGTTATCTGAAACGAATCTAGCGATTTCGATGTGGCTTTTTTTTCATTTGAAAGCCAGTTTTGTTGATGTTGTTTTTAATATAGGTGAAGCAGAGTAAGAGTGTTATTGCAGTTCCAAAATGAAGTATGGTTTTTGGCCTATGATTCCACTAATAAATGAATCATTAATACCTGTATAATTGTACAGTAACATAGGTTTTTTTTAATATCATAACTGATATTCAATTCGACACAAATTATAAGGATTGAAAGAATATAGATAGAAATAAATTTGCTAATACCCTTGGAGTTTCGAAGAAAGAAGAGGATATTGTAAATAAATAAACGGATTCACGACTTATGTAACAAATGAACCTAACCAAACAATCCAATGAGCCTCTTTATTAAGTTATCCACACTATTTGATTCGAGGATTCTATTTAGTTATTTGTTAAAAAGGTTCAATAAAAACCTTGCTTCATAGTTACGTTGAAAATAAATTGAAATTCTCGTACAACACCGATACCCACTTTGTCACCTGTTGAGTGACGCTCTCGTTTTCTATCAACGAATATAAACAGTGAATTGAATGTTTCACAAGAATACATAGAATTGTCTAGTTTTCAAAACTTTTTCTTAAATAAAAAAAAAAGATTTCGTATATTTTGGTTTTATTTTCTAAGTTAGATAAAGGTTTAACGTAACTACTGAAAGTAACT